ATTTCCTAAAGTTCTAAAAAAAAAAAAATAACCGACTGATGGTCGAAAGCAGTGAACAGTATGACTTTGCTGGCGTTATCAGTAGCTCCATTCAGGAGGAGTGGCATGTGCCAGGAGTAGATCTGGATACAGAAGAAGTACATGAAGAAGAGGATAAGCAAGAGAAATATGGCAAAAATATCAAAGGTATGTGTCTGAATGGTTCTTAGTGGCTGTTATAGAATTTTGGATGCTTATTAATGATGGATGAATTTCCTGATAATACATGAAATGGATGGAGAATGATGATGATAAACATGTAAAAAAGGTTAACCTCTAGTAGAAGTAATACGAGAATTATAAGTATGAAGAACAGGTCTATACGATGAATTTCGAAAAATGTTATGATCAAAGTGCTCATGAATGATTCCGTTGTTATGTTTTGTGTTCTCAATGGATATAAACATTTTATTTTAGATATCCCAGCATCTGTATGGAACCTTCTGTGTAATCCTATTTATGTTGTCACCTCTCTGGGTTCATGTATGGAGCTATCGATTGTTAGTGGTTTTATCATATTTCTTCCAAAATATCTCGAAAATCAGTTTTCTCTTGGCAAGTCTCAAGCGAATGTCTTTAATTATATTTACTATATTTCATTACCTGTGTAAAGTGAAACATGTAACAATAACTATATTTCATTACCTGTGTAAACATGTAACAATAACTATATTTCATTACCTGTGTAAAGTGAAACATGTAACAATAACTATATTTCATTACCTGTGTAAAGTGAAACATGTAACAACCTAGTTAGAACTATGACACGTCTTGCTAAGTTTCATGTTGTACTGTCTAGTTTGAACTATGACATGTCTTGCTAAGTTTCATGGTGTACTGTCTAGTTATAACTATGAAACATCTGTCTAAGTTTCATGTTGTACTGTCTAGTTAGAACTATGACACGTCTTGCTAAGTTTCATGTTGTACTGTCTAGTTAGAACTATGACACGTCTTGCTAAGTTTCATGTTGTACTGTCTAGTTATAACTATGACACGTCTGTCTAAGTTTCATGTTGTACTGTCTAGTTAGAACTATGACACGTCTTGCTAAGTTTCATGTTGTACTGTATAGTTATAACTATGACACGTCTTGCTAAGTCTCATGTTCTACTGTGTAGTTAGAACTATGACACGTCTTGCTAAATTTCATGTTCTACTGTGTTGTTAGAACTATGACACGTCTTGCTAAGTTTCACATTTCACCATCTAGTTAGAACTTTACCTTATTTTGGTCAGAAAATTTCACTTGTCTAAACAGTCACACAACTGTCTATTTTCACTGAACACAGTCACTCAGTTTCTACTGCAACATATGTACTTGAATAATACTATATTTTCTGCCTAGTTACCCTAATAATGTTAATTTATGTAAAATTATTCTTTTTGGAAAAATAGGTACTTTGACTTACCTTTAGGCCTAAGTTGTAACTTTTTTAACAAGAACCCACCAAGAAAGATTCCAATGCATGCTCCAGGAATAGCAATTCCTCCTAGGAGATAAGTACGAAATAAATGTCATTTACCATTCACAATACAATATGAATTTTACTCTTGTCTTAGACAGTTAATTGATCTCCATTCTTAAGTTTAAGACACCATTTTTTAAACTGTAGAAAACTACAAAATTGAGTAAGTTATATTGAAAAAATTTTGGAGTCTATGTTGTTACAATCCAAGTCACCATGTCGGGCCATACTCTATTTGACGGCCAGTGCATCTTTACACTAGTCTTTCAGTACAGTTGCCACTACAAAAGGTTCCATAATGAAGTTGTCATGTCTAATGCATAACACTTGTCCCAGAATGCTTTCCATAATCCATCTATTGCATGAGGAAGACAGTTTCCCAGTGGCCATTGACCCTTTGTGTTTATGAATTCTCAATTGATGTGAGATACCTCACTTTGCTTATCACAGCTGTGGCACAATTTATTGCAGGTCTCTTTCTGGATGGTCTTAGTGCCCCAAGCTAATCCATGCTCCTTTTTTTTCCAATGTCACTAAGTACAAGAAATATCTCTTACTTTGTAAATTTTAAATTCCCTATCTGGATACATCTTTATGAGTTGAGTCTATTAATATTTTGCACTGGGAAGGGCTGTTACATACCCTTTCCAAAAGTAATCAATTTTTGGTGACATCACACTATCTATGAAATGCCAAACAATGTCAAAGTGTAGTTCTGATACATGCTGTCTACTTCAACTTTACATTAGCTCTGGTTGTCAAGAGACTTATGGATTTGCATATTCAAAATCAGTTTAATATAACATACTCAATCCTCTGTATTTATGCTATTTAAACACAAAGAAAATTTTTCCAGTTCAAAAGCAGTTACATATCTCCTTTAATTAACTAATATAAATATATAAAAGTTAATGTTCAGTTCATCACCAATGGACAAACTTAAAACATTACCTTAAACATCTTCTTCTAACTTTATACAAATGTAGAATAGAGGTTTTTAATTCAAGTTTTAACTTTAACTTCAGTTCCTTCTAAACAAACAACTTGTTTCAGCATTACTTATGTAGTAAGCTTAACAACAAAACTGTTCCATTTACTTCAGTTAATTAAAACAATTTATGCTTAATAAACACGTAATTTTTTCTCCCTAAATCTGTGTAACTTGTTCATTTCCTTATCCAAAATTTGTCATCCAAATAGTTAAAATATAAAATAGTTTTCATTACTAGGAAGTTAAAGAGTCAAATTAAAGTTAAACATGTAACAATAACTATATTTCATTACCTGTGTAAAGTGAAACACGTAACAATAACTATATTTCATTACCTGTGTAAAGTGAAACATGTAACAATAACTATATTTACTATATTTCATTATCTGTGTAAAGTGAAACATGTAACAATAACTATATTTACTATATTTCATTACCTGTGTAAAGTGTACTGTCTAGTTATAACTATGAAACATTTGTCTAAGTTTCATGTTGTACTGGTGTAGAGTAGTTGATTAATAAACAACATAGATTAGAAACTTAAAGAATGATATTTTGTGAGAATAACTGTTACATTTCAATTTCAAACTATGAATGACAAATGGTTCATTAAATATAAACTATGCTGTGAAACACACCAGACTAGGATACTTATGAAATTATACACTAATCAGGTTATAAAAGGATTTGTTTAAAAAATATTAGTACTCTCTTCATAGTAAAGTAAGCTTAGGTAAGCTTTTCACAAAATGTATATTATTATTTTACATTTATAATATACAACTGTTTCTTAAAGTGTAACAACTTGCTTTAACCTGTTAAAATAGGGAAGAGTAGCTCCAGCCATCTGAATGTTGTCACAGCCCAGAAAGTAAAGCACTACATACAATCCCATACACACCACGCTGAAGAACAAGACAAACTGGATTGCTCCTAAAAAAAAGAGACAATTGAACTATAATACCTGTATACCTTTTCATTACTTTTATAATTAAGTATTGAAAGTAAATTATATCTTGTTGTAATGGTAATGAACGTAACATGACAAATTTAAAAATTAACAGTAAGAACATCATTTGAAAAAACAACAACTGTTAGATATGCAAGACTGTTTCAATTTAAGTTTAATGCAAGAGTTATGATTTAGAGTGTTTATATTGTGTGAATGTAAAATTTAGTTACTTTTAGAATCAGTAGTCTATCACAGGTTTGTTTAGGTTGCTGTTTACAAATCATACGTTGTGTAAGTCACTAGTTAGGAATTAGTGATTGTTATATTATTGCAACATGTTACTACAACCTTCTAAGTTTTTGTTGTTTTAATTTAGTATTATTGAATCATAATATCTTTTAGGTGTGGAACGTTCTAGGCCTCTGTCAGGGTGATTTTATAGTCTATAGTGGCAATTTCTAAAGTGTAATTATCACAGACTGTATTGCAATAACAGAGTAGAGAAGAAGAATTTGTCTTGTCAATTGTGTTCTATAGAAAATGGAACCAGCTTGTGTGAACGTTGACAAAAATAGATAATTTTTAAAGCTCTGGATACAATTGTGGGAACCAAGAGTTATAGTGGTAATTTTAAAGTGAAATTATCATAGATTGTGTTGTAATAACAGAGTAGAGAAGAAGAATTTGTCTTGTCAATTGTGTTCTATAGAAAATGGAACCAGCTTGTGTGAACGTTGACAAAAATAGATAATTTTTAAAGCTCTGGATACAATTGTGGGAACCAAGAGTTATAGTGGTGATTTTAAAGTGAAATTATCATAGATTGTGTTGTAATAACAAAGTACAGAAGAATAAATAATCATGTCAAATTGTGTTCTAAAGTAACTGAACCAACTTGTGTGGAATTTGATGGAAAAGAAACAATTATTTATAGCTCTGGATACAACCATGATAACGAACAGTGTAACGAACATTTGTATATAGATATTTGGCTTCTTGTAATATTTTATTTTAAAACAAGTGGACTTTTTATTTATTGTCAAAAAAGTCACAGAAACCCATTGTAAAAAATCTGGCCCATACATACATAAAAACCTGACAACAACTGGGAGAAATACTGATGGCATGATTGTGAAATAACACGACTCCTTATTGAATGCACTTATTTTTATCACTGCTACTACTACTTGTATCTTCTGTTTTCATCTAAACTTCTAGTACCTCATCACGTATATGTATTTTTTTAATTGTTAGAAGTCTGTAAAGAATCACTTTTAAAATACCAGATCTTTTTGTACCAGAATTCTTAAATTTCCAACAATAGCAGGCTACCCTTTAACCAACTGGCTTTAAGCAGATTTGTTTAAAACAGTAGCACATACACGAGCAAAGAACTTACTGACTGCATAAAATATTACAGATTTTATTGTATGCTTTTTTTCCTCTCATTGTTTCTGTTGTCTTGTACCATATTTAACTCATTATTTGAGGCAGACATAGAAGCCTCAATTTAGAAAATGTAACTACAACAACAGAACACCTCTGCTTTACACTGACCCAGTTAGAATTTTACCCACTCTTCTCCAACCTTTACTCATAAATGTCCAAATACCACCCTTGTGACAATTTGGTGGAGATGATGCCATTATTTCAGAGGATAATAAAACTATAAACACATTATAAACATCTGTTTTTAACCCTAACCCTGTCATGTACATAATGCTAAAACACCTGAGTATCATCAGCTACATTTATTTCATATGTAGCTAATGCTCATGAATGTGGCAATAGAAACTGGATCAGTGTATGAGATTAGTTTCATGTGAGTATTACGTGTCATGCTCATGATACATGTGAATAATGAGTTTGAGTTATAATCATGTTGTGACATGTTTAAAAACTCTCAACTCTGTTCTCTTTCAATAATACTAGAAGGATATGCTTTACTCTTATTTACTTGGTAAAGTAGTCAAATAAGCATATCCATAGAAACAATTAACAGGGAAAGGGTTATAACACAGTTCAAGCCTAAGAAGGGACTTTTCTATTAAAGAACAAGCACAAACCCTAAAAACAACAAGGACCAATCCTTAGACTTGGTAACCCTGATTTATAAGTTTTAATTTTTATTGACTGAACTGCTTTAGTTAAGCTATTAATGTTATCACTTTTTGTTTATAATAATCATAATAATGAAGCAATTAAATATTAGATAAAACAAAAATACACAAATACGAAACTAAAGACATTAACAAGGTATCAAGTTTATTTGGGTATAAAATACTAAAAGTTTAGAACTATGATACTTGTCTTGCTAAGTTTCGAGTTTTACCGTGCTGTTAGAATTACACTGCTTATTTTACTATGTTTCACATTTCACTGTCTAGTTAGAACTATGACACGTCTTGCTAAGTTTCATGTTGTACTGTCTAGTTAGAACTATGGCCCATCTTGCTAAGTTTCATGTTGTACTGTCTAGTTAGAACTATGACACGTCTTGCTAAGTTTCATGTTTCTAATCTATGTTG